TATATGATTTTCTTGTTGTTGTTGTAAGGAAATCATGATTGAACTTTTCTTTCCTTTAATGGAAAGACGAAGAAGAGTGGTGAGGGGTTGGCCGGTGATTTTGTTCAATTTTTTGTTGTTGTCGATTTAGTTTAACCATAAATGAAGCATAACAAAATACTTTTTATTTCCGGTCAGTGGATAAAAATATCAAATGAAGTCATTCCATTAGAGAATAGTTTTTCTCCTTGTTTTTGTTATTGTTGTTGTTATTGACTTGACCATCATGGTAATTTAAATAAAATGCCAGGAAAAACATAACAATATCTAAAAGTTAAAAACGAGATAACTTGACTTCTCTACCGTAATGGATTTTGAGGACTCAAACACATACATACACAGGAATTTAATGGGGTAATTTGGGGGGAAATAAGGATATTTGAAAAACATATAACAAACATTTAGATAAATATTTAATATGGAAAAGAAGGAGATGGGAATTAAAATTAAAAAAAAAAAATTAAAAAAATATATTATTTAAAATTATGACAATTACAAAAAAATTGTTAAAACATTATCTTTTGTGCTATTAATTTTAAAAAATATTACACAAATCATGTAACTATTAATCATTTTACATACAAATTTTGCAATTTTTGGATGTTCGAAAAAATTTCAAAATTTTCGAAATTGAAAAAAATTAACTTTTTCTTATTTATTCATGTTTTATTTAAATAACTAAGCCTAAGCGACTTGAAAATTTACATTTTTTCAATGTTCGAAACAATTTCGAAAATTTTCGAAATTCGAAAAAAATGTGTTAAAATGAAGAATTTTTACCAATTTCTTACTTTATTGATATTTTGACAATATTCCATCAAAATTTCTTCCATATCTTTCATTTAAATTGAAAATTCTTTAAATTTCCCGTGTGTTTTTTCTTCTCCTCCCTCAAATTGAAAATGTCATGCAATTAATTTCATTTTAATTATATTTGCTCATGTTTACAATTATCAATGAGATAGGAACTTAGCATGGGGCGGTAACACCCATAAACTTCGACTACAACAACTACTACTGCTCCTTGTTTGTTCTACAAAGAGACAAATCAAGAATCTAACAATTCTTGTTTGGTCTTAACCGGACGAAGACCATAGGTTATATGACGCACAAATTCACACATATACAAACGCATGCATTGCAAAATCCTTTAGAAGCCAAAACTGCCAATAATATGTAATATAAATGTTGTTGTATATAAAGGCAAATGCATATATACTTATATGGAGATATCAAATGGAGAAAATTTATGGTTTGAAAAACAAATACAAATAAAACACGCCCTACGATTTGTTAAAATCCAGCAAAAGACACAGCTACAATTGCAGTGCGGGTATAGATGTGTGTGTAATATGCCAAAATGCATTCTTGGATGGTAGAAATATTCAAGGAGAGGTGTGTGTGTGTGTGTGCAAAGAGCTAGTCTAGAAAATTGACAATAACATAAAACTGCAATTCAAATTTCTGTAGGTAGCTCCCCCAGAAATACAAAAACAACAACAAAAATATATAATCAATATTTGTAAGGATATAAAGAAACAATTGTATATTCGTATGTATGTATGTATGTGTATATCTCTCTCGACAATACAAATACATAAAATATTCGTATATGTATATGTTTTTACCATTTGCATTCTTCTGGCCTTTTTCCTATCTGTCGAAGTTGTCATTTGTTGCGTGAAATTTACCGTTTTCTTATGCAAAACCATGCATGCACACACACAATATCGAAATAGATTCTTAACATGTACTTTTCGGACTAACAAGGACATTTTCTGGTCAGGTTGGCTAAGCCAGAGCTATTGGATATTTTTCTATTATTGCAAAGAAAAAAATGTTTTTACACAATAGGAATTTTAGATTTGTGGGCAGAACCGAAGGCACACACACACTCACATACACACATTTGCATATAGAATACAACAATACAAATAATGTTTGGAAATTTTCAATTTTCAACACAGCAAAAATATCCATGGCGCTGGCTAAGGTATTATAATGTATTTTCATGTTTGATGATAATGCATTTTCTTGTTATCCTTTGCTAAGGCATCTTGTCCTCCTAGATATGTATGTAAATATGCATATGCGAATATATATAAAGAGTTAGATATATATGCAATATCTTTTCAATATATTGACGTCTTTTGTTTGCATATTTACTGCTCCACCTTTTGTGTGTCTCTCTATCTCTAGGTTGTAAGTTTACTTAGGATGTGGTCGATATGTCCATCAAGTTTTTTTTTTGTCAGAGAGCAAAACACTCCCTCTCTGGAAGGGAGGGATAGAAAATATTTACATATTTTGAAATGCAAAAACAACTGAATTAAATCCTTAAATTTTGAAAAATAAAAATTCTCCTTTAATTCATCCTTCATCTGCCGGAAATGGTGGCTCGTGCTTGATTTCGATTTTTTTGTGGTCCGAAATCAATTGTTTAGTTTTTTTTTATTTTGAGTGGCAAAAAGGGGTTTAGCTCTTCTCTCTCATTTAATGGTAATTAAATACAACTTCCTTTTTATAGATTTTATTGTTGTTTTTGTTTTGTGAGCATTTTCAAAACAAGGAGTCTGTTCCAAATCACCTAAACCATGGTTGCGTCAAAAAGGGCATGTCAATCAAACAAAAAACATGACATGTATTGTGTAGGCGGAACAGCTGACAGGAAGGCTGGTAAACAAATATAAAACACAATGGAAGATGAAACACATTTGAGAAGAGGTTATATAAATACTACATCTTTTTCAATATTTTATTTGAAAATTATTTCAATTTTTTATACATTTTGAATTTTTTGAAACCGGAAAATTAAAATTTTTGTGTTAGACTTATTTAGCAAAATATATTTCAATTAAAAAAAAATTCAATGTTCGAAAAAAATTCGAAATTTTCGAGGTTCACAAAAATGTCTGAAAACGACAAATTTGTTTTTCTAACATCTAATAAAATTGTTAGAATATTAAATTTTATGATGTTCGAATCATCTTCGAATTTTTCGAAGTTCATAAAAATGTCTGCAAATGAGAATTTTGTATTTCTAATATTGAATAAATGCATAAGAAGTCAAAATTTTGCATTTTTAAGATGTTCGAAACAAGTTCGAATTTTTCGAAATTCCCAAACATACAAAAAATTACAAATTTGTATTTCTCACGTCAAATAAATGCTTAAGAAGACCGAATTTAGCATTTTTAAGATGTTCGAAAAAAGTTCGAATGTTTCGAAATTAAAAAAACATGCAAAAAATTACAATTTTTTACTTCTAACATCTTACAAATGCATAAGAAAGCCAAAATTTCCATTTTGTAGATGTTCGAAATTAGTTCGAATTTTTCGAAATTCCCGAATCATGCTAAAAATTACAATTTTTTATTTCTAACATTAAATAAATGCTAAAGAAGATCAAATTTAAAATTTGTAACATGTTCGAAACAAGTTCGAATTTTTCGAAATTCCCGAATCATGCAAAAAATTACAAATTTATAATTCTAACATTAAATAAATGTAATAGAAGGCCAAATTTTCGATTTTTAACATGTTCGAAACAAGTTCGAATTTTTCGAAATTCCAAAAAAATTACCAAAAAATGCAAAAAAAATTTAATTTTTTTCTATTTCTGCTTTTTGTAATAAAAATAATGTTTGAGAAAATCTCTTTCAAATATTTATTTTTCTTATCATTACACCCTGTCTTCTTGATCGATCACTAAAATAAACACTGGCTACTGTATTGAATCAAAAAAATCAATAAAAAAGATTACAAATATTTTATAAGCGCCACATAATATTTACACAAAAATAAATAAAATAAAAAATAAAACATGTTACAAAAGAAAGATTACATATCATGATTAGATTGGACCGACGACGAACAGCAGTTAGGCTAATCAATGGATGTGGTGGCTAGGGAGATAGGTAGCGTATTTACTTAACGCCATGCAACAAAAAAAAAATTATAACAGGAAAAAAATTATGAAATTCCTAAAGTGATTGACTGAGAGGAATTTCTTTCCCCCAACCACCGACACATTTTTACAAATGGCTGGCAAACACACACACACGTTCATTTCTTTCTCTTGAGTGCTGCCTGCCTGCGTGCCATGCGATATGGTGCAATGATATTGCATTTCAAGTACTCTACTCTTCGGAATGGTTGGATCGATATGTAAGCGATCATGGTTTTGTTTTTTGTTGTTGGTTTTTGGTTTGGTTGGTGATGATTGTAAATAGATTTGTTTAGAATTCGATGATGTTATGATTCTGATTTTTATATGGAAGGCCACAGAATAGAACGCCACAACAACAAGAACCACGAAAAAAAAAACTTTAATCGTAGTAATAACAACAATTATTGTTTACACACTGACGCCACTATGGCGGCATGTAGACATGGATTTCGAAAAATTTATGAGGGTGGTGGTTCGGGGTGGTGGCAAAACCCATTTTTGGCCCCAAAAAACACACTCACACACAATGTGCAATATGCACAAACAACAATTGTTGTTTTTCCTGGCGTTATAATAATGATTCCCCAAAAATTAAGCAAACAAATATTGAAATTTAGGACATTTGAAGTACTTTTCCCCAAAACAAAAAAAAAAAAAAAATAGATAATAAAAATATATTAGATTACAAATAGTTAAGTGGTTCGAACACAACAAAAAATGGCGTCTGGAGATAATCACATAGCAAAGGTGATATTTGTGTTAATTTTTATTTAATTTATGTGGTAGGCCATCATTGTTTTAATAGAAAATATCTTGCGGGACAAGATAAACCTACCAACACCACACAACAACTGTCAAGTTGAAGTTCAGATGATTGATGAGGTTCAGTTTGTGTATTTTTTTTGGAAACAGGTGACTTGTGTTATACGTTTAGTTTTTTGTTTTTATCTATAAACCCAATAAAAATGTCATACTAATTTGTTGTTGTTGTATTTTTTATATTTATTTTTAGCATCCCTACCCCTCCGAAGATCAGAAAAAACAATTGGCACAAGATACCGGCCTGACGATATTGCAAGTTAATAATTGGTAAGTAGAAAAAAATTACGTTTAAATAAATTAAGTTCTTAACAATTCGAAAAAATTATAATTTTTCAATGTTCGAATTAACTTCGAAAATTTTCGAAATTCATGAAAATTGAAAATTAGTCTATTTTTGTATTCTAAATAACATAAAAGGCGTTCATTTCACAAAATTTTCTATTTTTGTTAAGTTCGAAAAAATTCGAAAATTTTCGAACATTAGAAAAATGAAGTAAAAATATGGAAATTTTTTAATATAAAATCAACCAATACGATATAACAGATTTAGTTTTGTTTTAAATTATGAAATTTTGCACATTTTTAAATGTTCGAAAAATTTCGATAATTTTCGAACATTGTAAAAATGCATAGAAATTGAAAATTTTAAAACTAATTGAAAACTAAATTGAAAATTTTAAAACTAATTGAAAACTAAATTGAAAATTTTAAAACTAAAATGAAATATTTTTATCTAATAAGCAAACATTGAGTTTATATTACAAAAATATGCAAGTTTTTTTTGAAAATTTTGAAAATTATAAAACTTGTGTAAAACTAAAAATTTTAAATATTAAAACCAGTTCTAAAGTCTAATAGACTGAAAATTGAGTTCTTTGATGGAATTTTGCACATTTTTGAATGTTCGAAAAAATCGAAAATTTTTGAACATAGTGAAAATTCTTTAAAATTTATCATTTTCAAAACAAAAATTAAATATTTCCGGTTACTGAGCATAAATTTGATATTTCTGATGAAATTTCGCACATTTTTGAATGTTCGAAAAAAATTTGAAATTTTTCGAATATTATTTAAAGTCTATAAAATGGCAAAAATCAAATAACAGTGTCATAGTATGGTATAATAATTCCAAATGTTGTTTATTTACATTCAAAATAATTTGAAAATTTTATTTCAAAAAATTGTTAAAATTATTTTTATTAACAATTTTGTAATTTTTACCATTACAAATGAATAAATTTTTTTTTTAATAAAACAATCATCCTAAAAATATCCAAAAAAATTTTTGGCCCCTAAAAATATGCCCCGAAAAAATCATTTGAAATTTTTTCATTTTGCCAAAAATCTTTCAATCTCTCCCGTTTTTTCGACAACTCAATTATGTTTGTTACCTTTCCAAGCTCTTTATGAAGTCATTATTTTTTCGAAAAATATATTTACCACATTTTTGCTGCATTTGAAGAATATTATCTATGTACTTGCCAGCCAAACACTCCCACCTCCTCTCTCTTTTTTCCTCGCCTCACCATTCATCTCCTAATAATATTTTTGCCCGCAGTTGAAATAACAAAGCAATCTTCGTACATTAACCTCAATTTGTAGCCAACAATAATAAGGTTGTTTGTCGGTGTGTGTGTGTGTGTGCACTGATGTTGTTCTCCTTTTTGTCCATCAAACTGTTTGCTGTTAAGATTCCAGCCAAGACCAAATTGCAACAATAACAGCAACAACAATCTATAGTTACTACAAATAAGTGTTGTTTGTTTGCCAAGAAATTGTTTAGCTTTTGAGGCACAGAGAAAAAAAAAACACCATTACCTACCAACACTAATATCAGAAAACAACAACAAAAATATATAAATTTTGTATTAAACATCAATAGCAAGAGCATGTGCATGCTGCAACAAAACAAAAAACGCTTTTGAAACGACCATGATTCTGTGGTTACAAAAAAACTATAACAGACCCTGCCAGCCAACAATAAACTACGACCGAAAAAAACGTCTCTGAAATCAGGTTGTTTTTCTCAATGCACCACCGGGCAATATTTTGTTAAGTCAGTGTTTTTTGTTGTTGTGTTATTGTTTGCCAGTGGCTAGGTCGGTCGCTCTGTCGGTCCACATTATGATTTTTGTCAACCACCACCAGCAGCAGCCATCGTCGTTTGATGCTGTCGTCATCATCAACGATATTTTCTTCTCATGGTTTTCAGAGATACCGCCTTGATTTTTGTGGTTCGCTTGTTAGGTTATTCTTGGCCAAAAGGAAAACAAATAACAAAAACATCAACAACAACATTTTTATATATATATAACAATATATATATATATAAGTATTATATATACAATTGTCGGCATTTTAGACTTTTATCACAAATGCAATGTTCTGAAATCGGAAGAAAGAGAGAGGGATTGAGGGAGGGAGGAGGCAGGGTGAAAAAAGTAAAATGATCACCAGAAAAAAACAAACTTATTATTTTTTATGGCATCTTTCTGGTTCTTAAAGAAGCAAGCGAAACCAAACGTCCCGACACCAAGCAATGTCATTGTGTCGCGAACCTGCAGAACAGCATCAGTCGCACAGCAAAGCAAAAAACGGAGATGTTTTAAATCATATTATAAATTATTTATGAAATAAACATTTATGGGATTATAAGCCTAATTATGATTTGTTAAGATCAGAAAGGATTGGATTTTGAAATTGAAACAAAAAAAAAATTGAATAATTCTTTTTCGGTTTGCATTGTTACTTTATAAATGATTTGTTTTTTCTTCTATCTTTACAGGTTCATTAATGCGAGACGAAGAATTGTCCAGCCAATGATTGATCAATCAAATCGTGCAGGTAATTATTAAAGATTATATATATTTTTTAGATATTAAGGCGTCAAAGATCAAACAAACAACGGATTAAGAAGTTACCGTTTTGCAAAATCTCCAATAAATCAGCTTTAATTGAAATGAAATATTGAATAAAATACGATAAGGAACAAAATAATTAAGCAAAAATGCTTAATTCAGTTATATTATGGCATAAATACCAATAAAATTACAAAAAATTCCATGTTCGAAAAATTCGAAGTTCCAAAAATTTGTCTAAAACATTTGTATTAGGCAAAATAATAATAAAAATATGATAAATAACCGAAAAATTACAAAAAATCAATGTTCGAATTTTGTTCGAAAAATTCGAAGTTACAAAAACTGCTCACAAATATGAGTATTAGGCAAAATATTAATAGAAATGCGATAAACTATCGAAAAATGGTAAAAATCAATGTTCGATTTAAGTTCGAAAAATTCGAAGTTCCATAAAATGGTCTAAAACTTCTTATTTAATCCACATATTCATATAAATATGACAAACTACCAAAATAGTACAAAAATGCAATGTTCGAATCAAGTTCGAAAAATTTCGAACTTCTACAAAACACTAAAAATTATAGTTTTTCGTCATGTTAGTGTTACAAATGCACAATAAATTACAAAAATATCAATGTTCGAAGAAGTTCGAATTTTCGAAATTCGGCAGAACTTCACCAAAAATACTCAAAATAATAATTTTTGATTCTAATGGCAATGGAAATACATTTAAAAACATTAACGGCAATTAAAATTCACGTAAATGAACAAACAATTTTTAAATTTAATGTTCGAATGAAGTTCGAAAAATTCGAAATTGGAAAAAAGTTCCCAAACACTTAAAATTGCGATTTTTGGCTTATATGACATTTAAAAAATGTATACAGTTACAAAAATGCTTCAAATTCAATGTTCGAATTAAGTTCGAAAATTTTCGAAATTCCCAAAAATGTCAAAATACCGATTTTAAGCTTAAATGACAATAAAAACACACCCAAAATTGGAAATATAACTAAAATTCAATGTTCGAAAAATTCGCCTTTAGTTCGAAAAATTTTCGAAATTCCCAAAAAATGCTTCCAAACATGAAATATGAACATATAAAACAATACGAACTGAATATTGAAGAAAAATACAAAGTTCAACAAAATTCGAACTTCTAAAAAAATTAAAAAGAAAACATTTTTCTAAAAAAATAGTTTTTATTATTATAATTTTTTTAATAAAATTACTAATTTTTTTATTTCCTTTTTTTCCATTCCAGTCTACACCCCACATGCTGGTCCCTCCGGTTACGGCCATGATCCCATGGGCTATATGATGGACAGCCAAGCACATATGATGCATCGTCCACCAGGCGATCCCGGTTTCCATCAAGCCTATCCCCATTATCCACATGCTGAATACTACGGTCAACATTTGTAATCCAATTTAGCGCAATAAATCTCATCAAACTTATTTATATATATAGTAAATAAATAAAACAAGAAATAACTAAATAGATAAACCAACAGCAACAACAACAAGAAAAGGATAAAAGGCAGAAAAAACTCCTACAAATGACTACAACAGCAGCAACTACTAACCCCAAACACCTCACCCGACCGAATCCTAGAAACAAAGAAATTGAAAAAGAAAGGAATTCCTCTCTTCATCTCCCTATATTTCTCATCACAAGTCAAGTCAACCGGGGAATGGTGGGGATGAAATGGGGCGATTAAACCAAAATCTTAGAACAAAAATTGAAAACCGTTAAGAAAATAAAAAAAATATACTCCCATATTAAAGAATTAAATAAATTATGACATTTATAAAAAAATTCTCTTTTTTGAAAAAAATTGAGCTTGAAAATTAAAAAAAAGAGAACAAATGTTGACCTTACTTAAGGATATCATGGCGGAACATCATAAATTTTACAATAAAAACAACACCAACAACAAAAATACCGGATATACGTAAAAAAATAACTCTAGACAGCTTTAAAGTTATTGGGAAGAAATGAGGAAAAGAGATAGAGAGAGAGAACCAATTTCAAGGAGACTTGAATTGAGAAAAACAATTAATAAAGGTAGGTATTGTATAACAAATTATTAAAAAATATATAAAAACAATTCTTAAAAAATTTTTCAAAAAAAAAAAAAAAAGAAAAAAATGAAAACTATGTATTGAAATTAAAATTTTTTTTATAAAAGTCAAATATTTTTTTAATAAAAAAAAATTATACAAATTAAAAAAAAACGTATTTTATAAAAATTTAAAAAAAATTGTTTTATTTCTTAAAAATATGTTCAAAAAAATCAAAAATATATATAAAAAATCAAAAACATATTTTTATACAAATTAAAAAAATGGTTTTTATTAAAAAAAAATTAAAAATTTTTATATAAATTTCAAAAAAATATTTTTTAAAAAATTAAATTATTTTTTTATGAAAATTTAAAAACATAAAATATTTCATATAAACAATAAAAAAATTTATTCTCGATTTTTACTAATTTGTTTTTGAAAAACAATTTCTTATAAAAATAAAAAAAAAAAAAATATTTTTTAAAAAAATTCCAAAAAAATATGTTTTTTAAAAATTCCAAAAAAATAAAAAATTTTTTTTTTAAAAAATTCCAAAAAAATGTTTATTTTAAAAATTCCAAAAAAAAAAAATTTTTTAAATTCCAAAAATATATATTTTTTAAAAAAATTCAAAAAAAAATATTTTTTTTTTTAAATTTTAAGAAACATTTGCAAAGAATATTTTATAAAATTTTTCGAAAAAAATATAAAAATTTTTACAAGTTTCCAAATTTTTTTTATAGAAAACTTTGAATATTTCATATAATTATTAAAAAAAATAATTCTCGATTTTCTTACTAATTTATATAGTTTCTTTTATTTTTCATTCCAGAACCTAAATCTTTATTTTTGTTTTAAGACTCTTCTCCTGGCAACTGACCTACCAAGGATCAAAAAACCATAATTTGGCAGTACTCGAAATATATTCCCAATTTGAAGAAAAAAAACAACAACAACAAAAATACCACCAATCAAATATTAAACTCTAAAGAAAAACCAACAACAACAACAACCACAGCGAATTTAATTTTTGAAAAAAAAAACTAATTTTTATGTTAAAATTTGTTTTCTTTAGAAGGCAAATAACCACAAACCAGGATTTATTTTTAGAAAAAAAATTTCTTTAAAAAAAAACATAATTTTTTTAAGAACAAAATATTTAAGTTACGCATGTATTTTTTTTTCTTCTTTAAAAATAAAAAAACCATATATGATGATCTCCTTATTTAAGGGTTTACAAAAGAAAAAACAAACATAAAAATTACAACAAATCGATTATGTAAAAAAAGGGAGAATTACAACAAGAAAAACAACAACAACAACCCTACTTAAAGAATTTTAAATCCAAAAAAAAAACAAAAAAGGAAATACAAACAAAAAAAATCACAGTAAAAAATGAGAAAATTTAGTTATAAAAAAATAAACAAACAAAAAAATTAAGCATAAGTAAACAAAATACAACAACAAAGAGAAAAAAAAGCAACACATATGTATACAAAAATATAATTTAATAAATTAATTATAAAAATTAAAAGAAGAAAAAACATTTTTAGTAAAAATCTTAAAAAACTCCCAAAATTTTGAAAAAAAAATTCTCCCCCTCCCCCAAAAAAAAATACACACACACACTAATACTAAAACACTACACAATGTATACCAATTGTAAATGTAAAAAGTTTTTAATTATTAATTATTATATATATACATAAAAGAAAAAAATTAAAAAAAAAATTACTTATTAGTTTTTACAAACAAATAAATAAGGAAAGTATAAAAACAAAAAGATTTTGGCAAGAAAAAAAATTAGAAAAAATCGAATTCAAAAAAGAGCTTGATTTTGGGGAAAATTATTATTAAAAAAAAATATTTGAAAATTAAAAAAAATAATTTTGAAAACAAAAAATCCCGAAAAAATAATTTCAAGCTCTCAAGATTTTTTTTTTTTAATTTTCTCCAAAGAAAAGGCACCTCAACTTTGTATTTTCACAAAGTTGAGAAAGCAAAAATTTTTTTGGTTGATTTTTTTTCCAAAAAAATATTTTTTTGAATTTAAACTTTCTTTAAAAAAACATTTATTTGTTCTATTGTACATTATCTTAGATTTTCCTGATAGTTAAGTGAAAAACCCATAATAATTGATTTAAACAAAAAAAAATTATATTACACACATAAAAAAATGCTTTATAATTTTATTCACACACATACACCTACACACATACACACAAATAATAATAATACTATACATTTTAGTTTTAAAACAAAAAGAAATACCACATAAGAACAAAAAACATATTACTTCAAATTGTTTTTATTTTTGTTTCCCAAAAAATATTTTTGAAAAAAATTAAACTCAATTTTTTTGAAATTTGAAAAAACTCCCTTTTTTCAAATTTTGTTTATGTAAAGCTAGCAAGTATTATATATAAATATTTTTTTCTGCAAAATTTATTTTTTTTCAAATTTTTTAGTTTTGTTTTATGTTTTTAATTTCTTTAATTTCTCTTGTAATTGTTTTTTTAATTAATAAAAAAATTACTCCCCTTTAATTTTTTGATTAATTATCTCTTATTATATAAAAACATATATATAATAATACATAATTATTATAATTATTGTAGTTATAGTTGATTAAAAAACAATGATAACTGCGCGCAGCTGCATATAATTTTAATTTAATTTAAATGAAAGAAAAGAAAAAAAGATCACACACACTTTACAGCTTGTATTTTATTTTAAAAATATTACTATTATTATTTTTTAATTTTAATTATTATTATTATAATTTTTAATTATATAAATGGATTATTATTATATTATTATTATTTTGAATGATTGTGAAAAGATGTGAGATGAGTTGAGAAAAGAAAAACCTATAAAACAATAATTATTTGCAAAAATACAAGAAAAAAAATTAATTTTGGTGTTTTTATTTCATTTCGATTTTTGGTTATTTAATAGATTTTTTTTTTGGTTAGTTGAAATTTTTTGAATTTTTTGGTTGATTATTTCGCTTCCGTTTTTATGCCCTACTACGTTGGATATTGATTTTGTTTCTTTTCATTGTATGTTTCGATTCTAATTTTGATCATATTTTGAATATTGTGTATGCACGAAATTTTCTTTCCTCTCATTTATGAATATTCTCATAAGATTCATATAAGAAAATTGTATTGCAATCCATCCCAGAATTGAACATCGTTTTGAAATGTTATTGTTTTTTTGAAACGCATACTTGAACAATAACAGATATTATGGCCCACAAAAATTATAAAATACTGAATTTGGAATCTGGGGAAGGCACAAAATCTGATTACAAACCCTGATTCCTTTACTGAAGTCTGATTGAAACAAGTATCCTTTTAAAGGTCCAGTTGAAATCCTCGAGAAGCAGTCGAGAAGTAAAGAAAAAATTGTCTAATTTTTATAGTCGTACTGCTATGGAATTTTTTGAAAAGAGTTATGAACTAAAAGATTGTGGTGATTATCACTATCAATTAAGGTGAAAGGTCACGCAACATTCCCTACATTCTCTACCAATATTCACTTGAATTGGACTTAAATTATTCTTTTTCAAAGATCATTCATTGCCTACTAGACTCCAATCTGATTGAAAAAATTCATATTTTGAATCTCAAATTGAATCGGAAATCGTCAATCAATACCACGGATATCAATACATTGGTGGTCTACCAGGTGAAGTGTGACCAGACAAAAGGGCTATAATAGCCGTTTGATGCATTAGAGCTAAATGTTTTGAATTTGTAGTATGAACAAACTTTCATTAGGACTTTAACTTAGTTTTGACCTCCACAGTATGTTTTGTTATATTCTAATTGGAAAATATATGACTCCACACTGAGGAACGTCTAAGAATTGATTCTTATTGAGGAATGATTAATTTTCAAGGTCAGGGTAAATTGAATGAATTGAAAATTCCCTAGAAGCCGTCAAAACTATAACTTAGTTTAGATCTCCATGGGCTCTATTAAAAATTCCAATTTTAATCCATTTAAAAAAATAGGCACTTCACATTGAAAATCGAACAAAATATATGTCATCTCAGAATCGTTTCTTATTGAGGAATGATTAAGGTTCAAGGTCTAGACTATAACTTAGTTTAGATATCCACAGATTCTATTTAAAATGTTTATTATATTCTAATTGGAGAAAATGATACTTCACACTGAGTGAGTGAAAAAAGACGGTTCCTATTGAGAAATGATTAATTTTCAAGGTAAAGGCAAATTTAATATGAATTCCCAAGAAGTCTTCGGGAGATTTCTTTTGAGTAGATGAAATATACTGACATCTACTGGTCCATAAAATCATTTTTTTATTAAAAATTAATCGTAGTTTCGACCTGTCCAATTTCCTTTTTCTTTATATTCTAATT